TATCACCACTTCTATTTAACATTGTATTGGAACTCCTGGCCAGAGCAATAAGGCAACAAAGAGAAATAAAAGGCATACATATTGGCAAAGAGGAATTAAAACTATCTCTATTTGCAGATGATATGATCCTATACATAGAAAACCCAAGAGACTCGATACAAAGACTATTGGAACTAATAGAGAGGTTCAGCAAAGTGGCAGGATACAAGATCAACATACAAAAATCAATTGGATTTCTCTACACCAGCAAGGACTCCTCTGATAAAGAAATAAGGGAAACCATACCATTCACTATAGCTATGAAAATATAAAATATCTAGGAATAAACCTCACCAGAGACACAAAAGACCTATACAGAGAAAACTATAAAACACTGCTATAAGAGAAAACAAGGGTACTACATAAATGGAAGAACCTGCCTTGTTCATGGATAAATAGACTAAACATTGTGAAAATGTCAATACTACCTAAAGCAATCTATACACTTAATGCAATCCCCATCCAGATTTCAACAAATTTTTTAAGGACATGGGAAAACTAATTACTAATTTCATATGGAAAGGAAAGAGACCTCGAATAAGCAGAGCACTTCTCAAGAAGAAAAACCAAATGGGAGGTCTCACACTCCCAGATCTTAAGAATTACTATATAGCCACAGTAGTCAAAATGGCATGGTATTGGTACAATGATAGACAGATAGACCAATGGAACAGAATCAAAAGCTCAGACATAGACCCTTCCATCTATGGACAACTGATCTTTGACAAAGGCCCAAAGCCCATTAAATGGGAAAGAGATAGACTCTTTAACAAATGGAGCTGGCAAAACTGGATATCCACCTGTAGAAAAATGAAACAAGACCCATACCTCACCCCATACACAAAAACAAACTCAAGCTGGATCAAAGACTTAAATGTAAAACCCAAAACTATAAAGTTCATCAAAGATAAAATAGGGGCAAATCTAGGAGCTCTAATTTACAGCATAAAAAGACTGTCAAGCATAACCAGAATGTGCAGGAGATAGAAGAGAAGCTAGATAACTGGAACCTTTTAAAAATTAAATTCTTGTGCGCATTGAAAGATTTCGCCAAAAGGGTAAAAAGAGAACCTACAGATTGGGAGAAAATATTTGCCTATGACATATCTGACAAAGGACTTTTCTCCCAAATCTGCAGAAAACTTCAACACCTCAACACCAAAAAGACAAATAACCCAATTCACAAATGGGCAAAAAACGTGAACAGACACTTCACCAAAAAAGATATACAAGTAGCCAACAAACATATGAGAAATTGCTCATGATCATTAATCATTAGAGAGATGCAAATCAAAACGAAAATGAGATATCATCACACCGCAGCAATAATAGCAAAGTTCAACAGATCAGATTGTAACAAATCCTGGCGGGGTTGTGGAGAGATTGGAACTCTTGTGCACTGCTGGTGGGATTGTAAAATGGTACAACCATTGTGGCAAACGGTATGGCATTTCCTTAAAAAACTGAAAATAGAAGTACCATTTGACCCAGCAATTCCATTACTAGGAATATATCCTAAAGAGGTGAGAGATAGCGCACAAACAGACATATGTATACCTATGTTCATTGCAGCACAATTCACCATAGCAAAGAGATGGAAACAACCTAAATGCCATAAACGGATGAGCGGATAACCAAATTATGGTATATCCACACAATGGAATACTATGCCACATTAAAGAACAATGAGGGATACGTGAAACATCTCGCAAAGTAGATGAACCTGGAGGACATTATGCTGAGTGAAATAAGTCAATCGCAGAAGGACAAGTTCTGTATGAGCCCATTACTATAAAAAGACAGAGAAGGGTTTGCTTGGGAAAGGGAACTCACCTAGTAGGTTACTGGGATAGCGAGGGAATGGGAGGGATTAATTTAGGGCTAGTTGGGGCTTACACGCTGACATAAGTAGGGGGAGGGATATACAGGAAGGATATATGTCCACCATGATAATATTGGGAAATGAGAGGACACTAAACTGTGCACATAAGAGATAGATGACAGATGCTAATACCAACCAATGTGTCCACAATACCACATTGCCATTAACGCCAAACACTAGTCTATACAGATAAACACATAAACACCTGAGATGATCAGACAGGGGTCAGTGAATAGAGGTATACTCTAGACCATGGATAGATTCAGCTGAGGTTAATCTTGTACAGACACCAATGATACAAAATACCTGCAGTCCTGAAAAATGAAACAAGATATGTACCTCACACCACACACAAAAACAAACTCCAGATGGATCAAAGACTTAAATGTGAAACCTAGAACTATACAGTTTCTCAA